GAAGGGAGGGGGAGGATACGCTCCCAGGTCGCTCCCTCAAAAAAAGAAGAAAAACCGCAACAATGATGCTGTGGGATGTTTCTTTTGGGGGGGGGGGGGAGCCTCTCGAGAAGGACTGGGCAGTGGGCTCCTCTGATGCCAGCTTTGCTCTCTCTCTCTGATATTTTGGTACCCTGCTACGAAATTTCTTTTCCATTTTACTGTTAGCCTTTCATCCTTACTGCTACACGAATTGTTAATTTGAGAGAATAAGATTGAAGGAAATTCATTTGTGAGCTGTCTGGAAAAGAGAATTGGACGTATTTATGCTACAAGGAAATATGTGCAAATGAGTGAAAGCAAAAAGATTAGTGTAGCTTGTGAGCCCTATGCACATAGATCCTCTTGATTCGATTTATTTTCGCATAATTCTTCTCAGCATAAATACGTTCAATTTTATTTTAGCACTTTCTCGTCTCTTTTCTAAATCCTTAAGCTTCAAAAATCTCAAACAATATTTCCTCGATAAAAGCAATAGGTACCTGCACCCGCTATAATTATGATTATAGGCATAAGTCTATTGCTATAGCGTACCTACATTTAGAAACACATAGGTACCTACCTCAATTACTAAGTTTAATAATGTATGTGTCTCCTGAGTATCTTTGCAGAAAAACACCATTGTTACTGTCTGAAATTTTTACAGGATATTCTTTCTGTCTTGAAGAGAAATCAACGGAAATTAAAAGAGAAAACTGGGATCATTTCTCCTTAGAAAAAATAAACATGTTGGAAAATGACTAACGTCTTGAATCCAAAATGCATGTTTTTGGACTTAGGCCATCAGTGTGCTCAAGAAGCAGTATTCTGATTAAGTGATGATTAAAGTATTAATGGCAATATTTGTTGAATTCGTAATTTGTATGAATTATTACATTTTGAATTTTTTACTTAGAAAAATCTTTGACTCGGTTTGTTTTGTCCTCCACGGTAGCTTCTGATTCATTTTTGGACCTTTGAGTATAAATTAAGTGTTTGTAAAGCACTGATTGGCCTAAAACATATTATTTTAACGAAAGTATTAGCAAACCCCCAGAGTTTGCTTTAACACATTTCAATATAATCGCAAAAAGAAGGATATAAGCCTGACAAATAATGTAATTCTTCAAAATGCAGACATTATTTTACTCTAAAAAAGTAGACATAAATCCAATGAATAAAAGCTACCGTTGTCATGAGGGGAAAAAGGAAATAGGAATTGATTAAAAACTGTATCTTTTTTGTTTTCATGTATTTTTTTAAAGAGGAAACAGAAAAAGGTGACCAAAAATTAACATTAAAGTCTATCAGGAACAGTAAAACATTAGGTCAATGTTGAATATAAACAAGAAAAGGATACAAGAACCGTACTAGAATTCCGTGCTGGGGTAGGGATCGCGACGGGATGAATAGACCAGATCCCAGATCTGGGTTTCACAACACAAACACACGTGCGTCCCATGCGACGCGACGTGCGCGCGCAGCAGAGCCTCACTTTTGGGCGCCTCATCCCTCCCGTGTGTGGCACCCGACATGGTCATGCACTGCTATTATTTAAAGTGTTTAAAAATGGGTATGTACTCGCACATCGAAGTTTGAATTTTCGAACCTTCTAACTTTTCAACATTTTGATTCATTTCATGTTATCGATTGAATCATAAGTCAAATCGATGACTGAATCATATACACAATCGCCAGTACCTTGCCTTCGCTCGTTTCCCTATAAAGGTAATGAATGCATGAACGAACAAACGAACGAGAACGAACGAACGAACGAGCGGAAGACCGAATGAGCGAACGAACGAACGAATAAATAAACAAAATAAATAAGAGGCACTGAAACCTACTAAGACTCTGCTGTTATAACTGTTACAATCCTTACGCACCACATTACAACCAGATATGTTAAATTTCATCAGATTGCACGAAACATTTATAGTAATGGATCTGCACTCATTTCTGCCAGGCTGATACCACCATTCACTGCGGTAGTGGCTGTTGAGTTAATCCCACAATTAACGTCACTAGTCCCAGAGAAACATCGGACTAATAACTTAGGGATGATTTCTACTAGTCGTCCGTTCAAATAGTATTTTCTTTAATAACATGTCAACTGACTTTAGATCCATTTTCCTCTAATTTTAGGGCTAATCCTACATCGATGAATGCTTTTGGCGCGTNTCAAAAAACTTAAATTCGATCGAATAGCTTTCTACTTTCACAATACACGGTCTCGTCAAGGTGCGTCTTTGACCTCGCAGTGTTGGATCGTGAATTCTCTTTTTATGCTGTTTGCCTATTTTGAAATCTCTGTAAATGAAAACTAAAGGGGTTGATATGTGCGAGTTAATGACGCGCCTTATCAACACATTGTGTTGGAGTTCACTGCTTGTTTTGAGATTAGCTTTGATCAAATCAATGAGGGCTCTTAGACCTGGTGACTTTTTGAGTTTGACAAACAGCACTTGGTTGTCTTCTGATCCTGTTAACTCGTGTTCTAAATCCATGGAGTGCATTACGGCTTTGATGATGATGATGGTGATCAGAGTCCATAACTTCTGAAGAATCCCTTGATTACCCCCGGCATGCGAGTCCCAGGTTGTAAACTCGTTTCGCATTTCAGGTGGTGTAAATTTATTAGCTGATACTAACACACTATCAGTGAAAATACGAGTGAGAAGAACAAAGTGCTCTACCCCAAAGAGATCACTCAGGACTCGGAGCAGTGGAGCTTGCATTTGTGCCCTGAACATGGAGTTCCACTGCTCCAAGTCCATGTGGAACCTCACCCAGATGTCTGTGGGTGTTTCAGGCAAAGTAATTAGGGAGTCCATTTTTTGTCGTAATTCGGCCCCTGACTGGGTGATCGACTGTTGTTTGAAAAGACGCAGTATTTCTCTACTCAGATTGCGTTCGCAGGCCGATGCCGTCATTCGGCATTTAAACGTGAGTATAGAAAACACCCGTGGATCAATTTTCAACTCTCCTTCTTTGGCCATGAGCTGAATCACTGCCCATAGCACAGGAATCTTCCCAGTTCTTTCCACTTCTTCGTTGAACTCTTTGATGCTGATCTTTTCTCTGGATAGAATTTCAAGAATCAGTCTAGTTTGTTGGAGTAATCTTGATTTCCGCTTTTCCACTACTGCTAGCGCATCTGCAGGAAACACCTGATATATGTGCTCCCAGTCTGGTGTGATTGGCTTATCGTTTAAAAGGTCTGAAATTTGGGGAAAATAATCAAAGTCAAAGTTTTTCTTAAAGATTAATTTATCCCAAGCGCTATTTGGAATCTTATAGCATTTGCGTAAAGAACCGGGATTGTTCTGATCAATTAAACGTTTAATAGCAGGGTCAACATTGACATATCGATAAGTGGCGGGGAGCTTATGATATTCATTATAATAGGCAACAAAAAATTCCCTTTTAAAGTTACGGATATAGGATAAAGTTACAATATAATTCAATTATTTTTTGAAGAATACGTTATCGATTTTCCTAGTTCACGCCATTCATCCACTTCCTTTAATTGGCAACCCTACTTTGTGAATCGTTAATATACAACGATTAACTGATTCATGTCGCTCTTTTATTTTATGTTTATCTTGTCAGCTTTTGGGAACTGAATAAAAAATCAAATTTGAAAATAAGTAGAAAAATATAATTCATTCTAGAAAATCAATGTAATAAAAATGGAAAGAAGGAACAGTAATTGAACGTATTTTCTACGTGAAAATACATTACTACAAAAGTATAATACATATAATACTACAAACAGGTTCCTAAGGCATCTCGGAAACACTTTCAATATATATGCAGGATCACAAGAAAGTATAAACAGTAAGTGGAAAGAAATGAATTTTGCATAAACAGAATTGTTAATGCATGAGTTAGTTATATATTTGTTTATTCAATTTGGAATAAGTAAGCAGTATTAATTATTCTCCGTGTTTTCATATTAAGAAATAACTGCCGAACGAATGCCTTTTGCATTATTCTCCGTGATTTCATATTAAGAAATTACTGCCGAACGAATGCCTTTTGCATAATGTCGAACGAACTTTTGCATAATTGAGTACAATAAAATTACGTCAGGATCACAAGAAAGTATAAACAGTAAGTGGAAAGAAATGAATATTGCATAACCAGAATTGTTAATGCATGAGTTACCAAATTAAGGATGCTGTGCTGGGCTTATGTTTAGCTACTTTTTTGCTGAACTCAAGCTAGCTTCTCTTGCTCCCAGAAAAATTCAGCTTGGATAGAGATGAAAATTATCTTGGAAGAAAATGGCAAAAATGGTCAGGCTTGGACCAAGCTCTTTGTATCAGTGTTCGGCCGTAAAATGGTACCTCGACCAATAAATGAGCCGTGAGAAGAGATGGTAGAAGAAATTACATTTAGAGAAAATCGAGGATGAAAGCCCCCAAATGTCAAATGTATCATGAAATTTTGAGGATGAAAGTTCACCAACTATAAGGACTAGAAGCAGGCACTGCCATCAAAACATTGCTAAAATTAATGGCTTGGATGCAATCAATGAAAGCCAGTTCTGAGGTGGTTGAATTCATCTCACAGCAAATTGAATCACGGGTGAAGGAATTAGCACCCTGGATTAAGAAAATCGTGCCGGGCACTAGTGGTGGCACGTTTGATCACCGATACGGTTCCCAGGAGTAGTGATGTGGGCTTACATAAACTCCACCTCAATGATCTTGAAACACGTCGGGGTCACCAAAACTGTAGGGAAAAAGGGGGAATGGGAAGGAAATAAGGACAAATCTATCGGGATCAGATAAGTGTGTATGAACGTGAGAGAGGATCAGAAAGACAAGTGGTGGTGCGTAACCATAGATACTTACAAGGGATATATACATGATACAGTCAAAATCGTACACGCTGAAACTAAGAGGCTTGATTCTTGATTTAAGCAAAAATCCGATTGAATCAGGAGTATTTTTTCTTGTCGATGATTTTAAGAGTCCGGACTCCAGATCCAATGTGTTTTCTTTTCCAGTGTTGGAAAAGCAAACTTGTTGGCTCCGATGACCACAATGCGCTTGGGCCCACATCATCAATCGGTCTGAAACACATGCGAGAGAGCCCCCGACGATCTTACGTTAGTACCGAACATGGGGGACAATTTTCCGGTGTAGTGTTTCGGTTGATCGCTGGATGCAAGTTACTCACCGTTTGAGGTGCGCACGCTCAACGTCAAAAATAATTTTCAACGTCCCGTTCCTCTGCCCAACATTTTACACCAGCGTAAGGGCCGCGCAGACCCGAGCCTCGCAAGTGACACTGGCTTATTTTTAGCCTCCCCGTGCTCGGACTGTATACCATCCCGTCTTTCGTGCAGTCTATCAGTAAACACGTCTGCTGTTACGCGTGGTTTTGTGAAGTTTTAGGAATTCCGCGACTTGAAACTCAAAACTCCGAGAATTTCAGGATTACTGACGTCCGATTAGGTGTCCCCAACGAGGAAGGTCAGGTGTCAAACGAGTAAGATAGCACATTAAAACCGGGCGGGATAGAATCAATTGAAGTCCACTCCTGTCAATGTAAGTTTTTGTCAGCGGTATTTTTTTTGCGAATTCTCACATTCACATTGATGACCGAAATCGACTTCGAGTGGAGTCACAAACGCATTGAGCGTAGCGTAAAGGCTCGATAAAAATCCGGCGGAAAGTAAAATGATGATAACTGAAGTATCAAAAAATTCCCGGAAAAATTGTGTTTACTACAGGAAAGAAAATGAATATTTTCGTAATGGAGGTGGCATGCTATGTTCCGGCCACGCTTCTATGATGCTCCGTAATCAACTCGGTATCCAGAAATTCAAATCGGCTTATGGAGCCATGACGCCGGGGATAAATGGACCACCAGACAAGGTACAAAATGGAGATGTTGCATTAGTTAGGAATTTGCGATTTGACTGTTCATTCTTATGTTAAAGTTCGCGAGAAACACGATGGTGCCAAAGGTTTTCTCTGAAATCTACTCCCAAGCTCAAGAAAAGCTCTAAGTTGAGGCCAAAATGGAGGGGATATCCCTTGCTACCCCGAGGGTCTACGTCTACATCAAAATAAACTCTCCACGCAAAGATAGAGAGCAAATACATTAGCAATGATGCCTTGTTTTCAGTTTTCGAGTCCCCAAATAAAGTGGCAGCCTTGTCAATGTATTTGCTCCCTATCTTTGCATGGAGAGTTTATTTTGATGTAGAGGTGGACTCTCAGAATAGCGAGGGAAATCCTCTCCATTTTGGCCTCAACTTAGAGCTTTTCTTGAGCTTAGGAGTAGATTTCAGAGAAAACCTTTGGCACCATCGTGTTTCTCGCGAACATTTACATAAGAATCAACAGTCAAATCGCAAATTCCTCACACATGCAACATCTCCATTAAGCATTCTGATACTTGTCTCTCAACCAATAGTTCGCGTAGAACACGATTATAGGAACGAAAATTACTCAAACTAACTCCTAACCAGGATATTTTCGTGTTTCTTGCTGCGTGAATTCAAACCTCCCGCCCATGAAAACTCAAATGTCTGCGTGAGTTAAATCGCACACTACACGTTATCGTGGCGGTCTCTGCGATACAAAAGTATAGTAGCCTCAATCAAGGCGCTTTGGCTCAGCTTTTGTAAATTGTTTACTCATTGAACAATAAAGGGTGGAAAAGGAACAATGCTCGATTGAGAAGCGTGCCGAAACCCTTGTAAGGCGCGATTTGACTCTCGTAGAAAACTGAGTATTTTGTGACCGGGCAATTCTCCCGTAACCAATGCACGTTAAAAACGTTAATATCTTAGTTAGGAGTTGATTTCAGTAATTTTAGATGAAAGAATCATGCTCTTCGTGAAATTCTGGTTCAGAAACACACTGGAAGGAAAACACATTGGATCAGAGTCGAGACTCTTGAAAACATTGACAAGAAAAAATACTCTTGATTGAATCAGATTTTTGCATAGATCAAAAGGAAATCCGCTCAAATTAAGAGGCTTAGTTCTTGATTTAAGCAAAAATTCGATTTAATGAAGAGTATTTTTTCTTGTCGATGTTTTTAAGAGTCTGGACTCTAGATCCAATGTGTTTTTTTTTTCCAGTGTATAACAAAGTGCTTAAAATCGTGCCTTGTCTAGTGGTCCATTGGTTAATTAATAGGGATGAACTATTAATGACGCCACAGGGTGACGTGTTCACCGAGAAAAAAAAAAACACCCAGTTTTTCTACGTTACAACGGTAGTAATGTCACACGGGATTCCACGGTAGTAGAACCGTGGATTTCGATTCTTGTAACGATGAGCACGGTGATATGACAGTGTTCACCGTAATATTACTGTGGGCACAGACATACTGCTATGAGCATGATTATGTTACTATGCTCATTGATAATATTACCTAAAGCCACGGTTCCACTACCGTGGAAGCCCGTGTGACACTATTACCGTGGTAACCGTTGAATAACTGTGTTTATTTTTTCTCCGTGTCGATAACATAGCCGGGGTGATTAAATAGGAGGCGGCTGCAGCGCGTTGCTGTCACCCGCACTGCGGAAAAAAAAAAAAAAAAAAAAAAAAAAAAAAAAAAAAAAACACGTTGAATCTAGAGTTCAGACTCTTGAAAACATCGACACGAAAAAGTGCTCTTGATTCAATCAGAATCTAGCCTAAATCAAGAAAAAAGCCTCTTAATTTATGCGGAGTTCATTGTGATTCAAGCAAAAATCCGATTGAATGCAGATTATTTTTTCTTGTCAATGTTCTCACGAGTCTGGACTCTAGATCCAATGTGTTTTTTTTTTCAAGTGCGCGCCGACGCGGATAATATTCTCCGCCTCGCCTCCGGGTCTAGGAAAGGGGTCTAAAATTACAGCGGTTTGGCGCATTGGATTTTATTTGACCTGAGCGACATCCTCAAAATTTTTTTTTTTTTTTTTTTTCAATTTTCAGATGTACATATGCCCTTTGTGCATGAAGACCGATTTCCCGTCCCTAGACTCGCTCTGCTTCGAACTGACGAAGGTTACGATCAAACACATCCAATGCCCCGTCTGCGCTGAAACAGTCCTGGGTTTAGACAAGTACACAATTCACCTATACTCACACTTGCTGCAGAAAGAAAACCAGTCGAAAAATAAAACCAGCGAAACCGTAACCCTGAACGTGCTCGTGAAGAACATGTGCAGGGTTTTAGATCCGCAGGCTGTGAGCCCAACGCCGGGAGTCGATGCCGCAGACTTCATCACCAAGAACAAAGATATCGTCGACTTCTCCCTTGTCGAAAAGTCGGACACCCATGTCGCTCGTCGAAATGGTGACGCAGACAGAGCTTTGAGAACAAGCCCCCGAGTCGAACAATCCAAAACCAATCCTCGAAGTGTTCTGCCCGGTTTCGCTCAAGAACTCCTTCCGTCCGTCGAGAAACTGAGCAGCATAGTCGCTCAAAATTTTCCGACCCAACCTCTTGACGCCCCCAAATTGCATTTCCCCGTGACTTGTAAAGAGAGTCGCGACATTTCTATTTCTCCGAGTCATTTCACTCGTGCAAACCGGAGCGCACCCGTTGTTTTGGGGTTCTCCTCAAACGCCGCCCTACCTGCAGGAGAGTCAAACGGAATTGTTGCTCCTAGCTTCGCGCACTCAAAGGACCCGCCATTGTTGGCTGAAGGTAAAGAGAAGTTCAATTTTATCATTAGATTTCATGAATTCCCTTATTTTTTCATTGTAAATAGAAGGGTTCAGAAGAGGATGGAATGTTGGTGGTATCATTAAAAAAACTTGTGATAGCGCCTTAACTCCATGGACCGGAGAGGGGGGATGTCAAATCGTAAATTACCTTTCGAACGTTAAAGGTATCTATTTGAAGAATATGAGTGAATAGGGCAGTGTGAAAGCCGAACACGCCATCTTTTCCAGTTTAAAAGGCAGGGAAACCTGGAGATGTCAGGAAAAAATCGTCACATCACCTTTCATTTGCTCTTAGTCCAGGCGCCTGGTAGCTAATTTTATGTATTTAACTACTTTGTGTCAGAACATGAGGGTAAAAATTCTCAGAGAGAGAGGGGGGAGGGAGGGAGGAGGGGGAGAGAGACTTCAATTTGCGAAAAAAAGCAAACTATGATAAAATAAGAATTGGAACCACATCATTTACCAAGTTCGAAACTTTCTGCAGGTATGTAGATTAAGAAATTGCGGAGCATAAGCAATGTAAATTTTTTTTATATTGATTGATTAATTACCTCCCTACTTATCTATTTATTGATTTTACCCTGATTGCAATAGAACCTGGTTGAATCAAGGAAATTAAATCAATGACATTTTTCGAGAAGTTTTCTTCGAATCGAAGATAAAATCCCTCTTTGTTTGGTACATTGCAGAGGTGCCCCCTTAATTTAACAGTTTAAACAGTAAAATGTTTAACTGTTTAAATGTTTTAACAGTATAATGTTAGAAAATCTAATTTTCCAAATGCTGTGGCAACCCTGGTTCCTTGCGTTTTAATTTTTTCTGTATTGTCGGATCCTCATTGGTTCTTGTCGGATGTGCCGCTGTTTCAGTTGTAACTGAGAAACCCGCCGCGGAGGGAAAGTCGCCCGTGGAAGTAAATCCAAGTTTTTTTTTCGTTCTGCCCGAGACCAGCGAGAGCGGCGCTCGGCTCGGGAATCCTCATCCCGAATTCATGACGATCGAGAGTCAAGCGAAAGCAACCGTCGACAGTCGCCACGAGGAAGCGTTTTCCGGAGAGCTTCCCGCGAGGTGCGACTCGGCGCCTCGAGGGAGCAACCACAGTCCCTTCGAGTTCGAGGAGTTCATCAAGCTGAAGCCGGCGGACGCTCCGAAAGACGAGCGGAAGCCGTTCAAGTGTCCCCAGTGCAGTTTCGCCTTTCCGGACGTCGGCATCCTGAAAATGCATCAGCAGTTGGTCCACAAACAGGATCCCCCCGGCGTCGGCAGATGCGACAAGAAGGTGTACTGCTGCCAGTACTGCAACAAGGGCTTCAAAATGAAGGGCAGTCTCCTGGTCCATCACCGTGTCGCACACAAGCATCTTTTCCCAGGTGTGTGATTGTACTATCCTTCCTCCAGCTACAGCCGAATTTTCGCGAGTGGATTTGGTCGACTGTTAACGACTTTTCTCTGAAGTTCACCGGAAAAAAAACACATTGGATCTGGAGTCCAGACTCTTGAAAACATTGACAAGAAAAAGGACTCGCGATTCAATCGGATTCTTGCTTAGATCAAAAGGAAATCCGCTCAAATTAAGAGGCTTGGTTCTTGATTTAAGCTAAATTCTGATTGAATCAAGAGTACTTTTTCTTGTCGATGTTTTTAAGATTCTGGACTCAAGATCCAATGTGTTTTTTTTTCTAGTGTTCCGAATCTCTGGAAAATCCTATCCTGGTTTCTCTCACCAATCATCAAAACCAGTGGACACCGTTGTCACTAGATTTGACCGATCAGATTCGTTGGTTTTTTTAATAGGTCGAACCCTTTTTAGAACCACCTCGCGAGGTGGCACCAAAATCACTTACCAACGTTGCGATTCGCTAGTCACGGAATCGGAAGTTCCGAACTCTGACAGAATGGCAGCTCGGAGGTTCGGGCACAGAAGCAGTAAGGAACCTCTAAATAAAATTCGCTTTTTTTCGATTAGATCGGCGAGGTGAGAACTAATGGAGAAAAACGCTTTGCTGCAGTCAAGAAGTTTTAAAACGCAGCTGCCTGATGAATTTTGGTCAGCGTTTTCATCTATCCATCTAACCCACTCGGGAGTTAGGTCTAGAATTTTGGAAGTGGTCGGCATCGCTGCCAGCATGAAAACCAAATGTTATAAGCGCACTGTCATCTGGAGGGAATTTAGTTTTGTTGTAACGTAGGTGGCAGTTTGTCCATAACTTCGACCAAATCCACTCGCGAAAATTCGCCTCAAGTTGTCACTTGCTTACATTCAGCGATCGAGGACTGGCCGCGGCGCGATCGGGAGTGTAGTCAATCCTCGATCCCTATTGGACGACTGCACTGCGGTCGCTTGCAAACGGAACGTAAACCAGTGCCAACTTAGCTTACGCCATCTCTAAGTTTATCATCCAGCGTGTTTGTTATGAGTCTCTAATTTAAGTGTAACCGTGATTAAAATCAACCAATTTTAAGACATCGCCCAAGTAAAGGCCAAATGAAGGTGTCGAGGGCGTATTTGGTAGAAATATGTCCGAATATGAAATGAAGAAACATGAAGGGATGTTTAGGTAGCGACCCCACAAAGTTATTTGATTCAGCTTAAAAGCGTCAATACATTCAAATGTTCACTATTTCCAGTGACCGATTGCTTGAATGCACTGCACAAGCGCCGCGATGCAGTTGATTCTTCCGAATCAAGAACACTACTCAGAAGTCTTAAGGGACTTACGGGAAGTCCTGAGGGTTATAATTGGATCGCATCAGGAATGAAGTGAGTCATAGCAACTATTGCCGAATTTAATCGGCATTTTAATTTTTTACATACACTGGGAAAGAAAACACATTGGATCTAGAGTCCAGACTCTTGAAAACATTGACAAGAAAAAGGACTCTTGATTCAATCAGATTTAAGCTTAAATCAGAAGGAAATCCGCTCAAGTTAAGAGGCTTGGTTCTTGATTTGAGCTTAAATCTGATTGGATCAAGAGAATTTTTTCTTGTCGATGTTTTTAAGAGTCTGGAATCTAGATCCAATGTGTTTTTTTTTTTTCAGTGTATGTATAGAACTTCACCCTAACCGCCGCATTCCAATAACTTGGATTCACTACCGGTTATTGGGAGTTTGAATTTTTACGCGGCACCATCTTTTTATTATATTCTCCAAGTTTTTCACCACAAGTTGTCCAATTTTTAGCTTGGTTTTTTCTCTGCTAAACTCGATCCAATTGATATTGTACAATCTTATCGTCCAACATGCCACGTATTAATGTTCGTTAGCGGTTTGTCCCTTGATTTTTTAGCCCACGATCTTTCCATGCATTAAAATTGTTATATCTTCCTCAGTTCACATCTGAGATTCCCAAACCATACCGTACACCCTCGCACGGGTTTCACGGTCGCATAAATTATGACAGGTGAATGTAAACCGATCAGGTGCCGATTTTTCTGAGCTTGCTTTGAGCGAACCTTTAACAGGTTCGCTACCTTCATAATCAGGTTTTTGTTCACTGCCACTGGGGAAAAAAGCCGCTTGGATCCAGAGTCCAGACTCTTAATAACATTGACCAGAAAAAATACTCTCGATTCAATCCGATATTTCCTTGAGTCGAAGAGCCAAGCCTCTTGATTTATGCGGATTTACTTTTGATTCGAGCTGAAAGTCCGATTGAATCAAGAGTATTTTTTCTTGTCAATGTATTTAAGAGTCTGGACTCTAGATCCAAGAGAATATTCATCCAGTGTGCCAATCACGGGTGTTCCAATAATTATTGAAGAGAATAAACATCAACCATCTATTTTTTTCCACAGAGACCTCTTAAAATGGTGCTTTTGAAATGTTTAGATCTGGAAAAAAGTTCCAAAGCAAGAGGCTCGGAGGGAGTGAATAGTCCGGAAAATCTTGGACCAACGGAATACGAGCACCAGTGCAATATTTGCTCCAAAACCTTTAAAAAGGTACCTGAATTAGATTTGCCAAAATTTTACCTGCAGGGTTGCCTGTCGAGTGGAAACGTACAGCTTACACTTGCTGCTGAAAGTAGAAAACTGAAGTTACTAGAACACTTCGGAGGCTCCTTACGTAGATGGAATCACCAGCAGATTCATAATTAACAATAAGTCATCGTTTTTATTAGTTTTTTTTTTAGTCCACGCATCCCATGACGTACCCGTCATATCTTCGCGACGACATGCAACCCTGCTCTCGAGTATTCTCGTGAGGATTGGTGTGAGCACTAACCACAAACTTGCGTGAATTTATCAAAATAAGTGTGTATTAATACAGGGTGTGCCTTTTCTTCTTACCTCCTAACAATGTATTTTCCCCTTTTCCTTAGATTTCCATCTATGTATTTTTCGTAAGAAATATATAGCGTAGTATATGTATTGTTATGACAATGAAGAGGGAAACAATTGAGGTGAACGAAAAGGGTTTATTCACAATTCTGGAACCCGCTAGGTCATGATGCACGACATGATGTATAAAAAATTGTATGACACGATATTGCAGGCGGTGTGAGCCGAGCTCGTTGCTTCGTTGCCCGCTAGGGGGCGACTATGGTCAAAGTCTGCACACTACTGTCATTATAAAATTGTACACGTTTAATACATTAATTTAGTTAAAGACGGATTTTTTCGGATCGTTCTTCTGCATAACTGACAAAGACACGAGGTACATGTACAAATTATAAATTAACAACTTCGAATCATTGCTTACGTCTCTCTTTCGCCCCATGATAGAGGACCTCAATAACTAGAATAGAAGAACACTTTTAAATATCCGCACACACATAGATCAATATTTCAGACGCCTTCAATTGAATCCACACTATAGAGACAGTACTAAATTGTAAAGCGACGAAGTATTATCGATGCTAATTCTAGTTCAAGCAGTTCAATTTTTAAAAAAACCGTGATGAGAAACCGTTCGAGGTACGTTCATACACCACTTTCAATTTTACAAAACCGCGATAAGAATATTTTCATTATGAATTTTGAGGTGCTCACATACACCAAATTGTGTGCCTAAGCCTTGTTATCTAAGTAAGACATTTTCCGGAGGCACGAGAATCACCATGTTGCGACTTGGCCTAACTCAGCCGAGGGCGAAATAAAATTGTCCTTGGCTTTAAGTCACCCCTTATTTTTAATCACAACTTAGATACCTCCTGATTTATTAATTTTTGTGTCAGTTTCAGATTGGAATTGTTGCTTTCGCATTTATTTTTGCATTGTCTCGCAGACATTTTTATTAATTTTTGTTAGAATTTCACGACGACGACATTCAGCGGGATGCTTTAATGTGCGCTTCGAATAGACTAATACCATGAGCTCTGGCATAGTAGTAACAAATGAATTACCCGCCAGGAGAATAACCGGCGTATCGTTTAAAATTATCGAGGGAAATTTTCCTCCACTAATTTCTAGGATAAATCTTGTACAAACAGAGTTCTCGGATGTCCGTCCACAGCGTGGTGAAATGTGCTGCTTTACTAGCGACAAACGTAACTCTTTTTTAACTGGGAATATCCCCGAGAGTTGAGGGGATAAAATTGTGCACGACATCATGACAAAGCAATTGGTTTGGTATAGGCTCACCGCAGCAGCTCAGCACCTTTTTTGGCCGGTGAATGGAGCATTGAGCATTGAGCATTGAGAGTTGAAGGAAGTAAATTATAACTTCTAAATCGAACTTAAACTCCCATGCTATGCTCTCTTTGTCAATGTGGAAAGCGACCGAAAGTCTACGTCTGAATAATCGTGCACAACATCTCGCACATACTGTGATATTCTCACATGACCCTCGGGATCCTCTCCAGTAGCAATCGCAATTATTGCATTCACCGTCTTCATCATCAACATCTCTAAGCGCAGTTCAATTAATCTCTTTCCGGATGATGGTAAGAAAAGTGACGTACTCAAAATGAACAAATGAACATAAACAAATCAGGAAAAACGCATTGAGTTTGACCATTGGGCCGCCGTTTCAGTCTCGTGACAGTTTTAGGCCTCAACAACGGAAAACTCCGCGGGTAATCCAGTGGAAAAATCTCCGTTGTCTATTACGAGCGCACCCACAATGCTGTGTATTCTGCGTGTGTTGAAGAGCTTGCCACAGACTTTTGTTTGCGGCCTCTCCAACATAATATAGCACCTCCACCTAAGGTGATTACATATCCTGTAAAAAAGGGTCACCGATGCAGTGCTGAAAACCTAGACTCTCGAGTTTCTCTATCACGAAAGTATACCAGTTTTTACCAGCTTTTTTAAGATCATAAAGGCTTTTCTTCAATAGGCAGACAAATCCTTCTATGTAGATGCCTGAACCTTCGGGTGGCGCTAAATGAATCTCTTCCTCTGGATTACTATTACGGTATGCACTTCCAACATCAACACGATGCAATCAAGATGAGAACCATCGCAGTTTTCATCGTGCTTACATCTGCGTAGGGTGTCAGTTTAACAAACATTTGGGGTGACGTAAAGAAGTGTCTGAAACGTGTGAAAAACTAAATGAAAACATTTCCAATGTTTTTAAAATGTTTCGATGAAATGTGTTGGCGATGTTTCTTGATTTCAGTGGAACATTTTTAAAACATTTTCGACACCCATTGGGCTATTAAGGTGAGGCTTAAGTGACTAAGAAAGATCATGCTCGGATTGAATTAGGAACTTGAACTTGTTCGCTTGCTATCTTATGAAGTAGTTCAAGGTCAGTTATTTTGACAGGGGCTGATTCCTCTCTTTTTTTCACTAATATTTCTCCGGCTTTGACCCATGCATATTTGAGCTGATTTTCCCCTTTTAGCCTTCGCAACGATGTAGACTGATGCAGCGCTGAAAACCTAGACTCTCAAGTTTCCCTTTCACGAAAGTACACCAGTTTTTACCAGCTTGTTGAAGACCATAAATGCTTTTCTTCAATAGGCAGACAAATCCTTCTGTGTCAATGCCAGAACCTTCGGGTGGTTCTAAATAAATCTCTTCCTCTGGATTACTATTACGGTATGCACTTCCAACATCAACATGATGCAATTAAGATGAGAACCATCGTAGTTTTCATCGTGCTTTTAGTTAGGCTTTATCGGGAGAAAACGGGTGTACTCATCAGTGATAGGTAATACAGGTGCGTGCTACCTCTACTAATAATTTTTTATTCGGTTTAGACTGCACAATATAAAATCTGTGGCTATCGTGGAAGATATCTCCTTCGGAGGCGAGTGAAAGTGCTTTTTCGACTTCGGGAAGATACGACGCCGGAAATGCTTGTCCTTGCTGTTACGGAGAGGAACGAAAACTAACCTTTGACGCGCTCACTCGGCGGTAGCCAATAATCGGACCCGCGGCGAAAGGAGGTGGGTGCAGGAAAAGTTGAATATCTCAACAACCCTTGGGACAAATTACAAAAACCCTAGCTTTTTTTAACGCTGAAAGTAATACCTACAAAACCCTATTTTTAGATTTGCTCTAGCTGTAACAGTTTTGGAGAAATCAAATAAGGAAACTTACTTTTTGGGATACCCTCGTAATTTTTATACCTTTTTTCTTACACTTTACGTAAGTCGCAAGCTCGTTGAATTGAGATCCTCGTTGAATTACGGTCTCTTGATAGTCCAGTCCATGTTGAAACACGCTCGGTTTTATCAAAAAAATCTTCATCAGGATACTCGTTTTGGCCTGTATCGTTGCTTTTTCCCGCAGGTCGTCAATCAATGTCACCCATTCATCAGCACTCAGATTTGCATCCTTCAAGACCCGCCCATTTAAAAGTAAATCCAAACTTTTGTCGGTGAACTTATCGTCCTGAATATGGTTTTTACAACGCCGGCTTTCTTCAGGGATAATAATCCGCTTTTCTAGCAGGGTCTCTGATCGTAGAGCTTTCGAGGTACGAATCAGATGTGGTTCGCGGACACCCTTACACAAGATCTTATACTAACGCGCACTTTTTACAGCATATTTATTTGATAGAGTTATTTTCGCCCCTGTTTTGTAAAGGTCGACTTTTCCCGCTAGGGGAAAAGCCGCTTCTTGGGACCGGAGTCCCGAAGGGATGATGGGTGGGACATCAAAAAGAAAGAACAACGGAGTTAGGAGGAACCCTTCTAACTTGTCCAACCTCCACGCGAGACCGCACAAATCATAACACACTAAAAAACTAAGGAGAGAACGAAGATTCAGCCCCGAAGAGCTGATTTTTNGGGGGGGGGGGGGGGGGGGGGGCTCTCGTCTACGGTCCGAAGAGGAAAATTGCTGATTTATTACACGTCGAATTGTGGCAGCTTTGAGTAATCGTCTTATTTGCCGTATTGACAATGTAGAAGATATGATTTCTGGAATGGGTACGGCCTGCTATACGGCATGATCGATTTAGGGTTTCTACATAAAAAATATGGTTGTTACCCTCGTAGGGGGATCCGTTAATCTTATAAATTACATCTTCCTTCTCCAAATCGTTTATCACTCGGACCAATTGCGGGTGATTACTTATTGGGGAATCCGACAAACTGCCGTGTGTTGGTTTGCAACGCCTTCGACGGAGATCACTCCTTAGGGGTTGCGCGGTCACGAGAGATCCAGGAACGGGAATGGCTGGAGGCCTTTGGTTGGTGTTTTCGGTTTCCTCCGCCTGCGCGCTGTTGGCGGAGGAAACCGAAAACAGCAAGTTACAAGATTCTGGCGGGAGGGTTATTGACTCTTTACAGTTTCTTTTGGGACAGACACACTTTCAGATCGACGCTTGGATTTGTAGCACTGCGTGCGGAACCAGATCCCCATTAGAGAATATTTTGCAAATGGGCGGGCGGACGCTTCTAGCGGGAGGCGGCGACTCCGGGAGGCTCCGCGAGTGGCACAGCGTCCGCGAACTGATCCGGGACCGGCTCCGCCTCGGCCGCCGAGGACGCGGAGACCTCGTCACCACGGAGCGAGCCCGGGAGACGAAACGGTCCAAGGCG